CCAGAACACACATGGCAACGAGGTATTCGTTCAGCGAGCCAATGGTTTAGTTAATACCACTAAAATCAACTAATGGGGAGTAACGAACTACTGAAGGCTCTCTCTGATTCTTTTAATCACAAGGAGTTTATTGACCTTGGTCTCACAGTGGAAATGCCAAATTAGACTATACAGCCAAGTGTTCCTCAAATAGCACTGATGTTCCAGTCACCTAAAAAAGACAGTTGACTATTTCTGCTGGCTTATTATGAATATATAATAAAACGCATAAAATAGATGGAACATAACATCTCAGTAGCTAACTGTTTTTCAAACTTCCATGAAAAAATGGCTAAAAACAAGAAGCGTACTTTTCTTTTACAAATTTCTAGATAAAAAAAGGGAGAGGAGGAGGATTCACTTCAGGTCTCCTATAAGTGGATATGGATAAAAATATGGGATATAAATGTCCATCATACTATTTTATTTTTATTCAGATGTTTACATAAATTCTGATATAAATATCAAAATAATAAAATTACCCCATCACATCTATCAAAGTGATACATTACATTGAGGCTCAGTTACTCACGTTAAAAGATTCTAAATAACGCCTTTTACTTGAAGAACTTTTATGTTCCTAACATATGAAACATTATTTAAAACATTTAAAATTTCAAAAATAAAGTTAATTCTTTAAAATCTGGTGATAAAAATCACTCAAAACCCAGATCAAGCTTCCATCTTTCCTCAAAACAAATTCTTAGATTTAAACCAAATTGATTTCATTTATTTGTCAGAGGAAAAGGCACAATGCTGGTATACTGGTATACATGGATGGCTCAGATTTTTAAAAATGAAACAAGTGAATTTTGAAAGAGGAAAAATACCCAAGGGATTATGATTAGGAAAAAAAAATGTTACTATTCTCCCTACTTAGCCACATCCATATAACCTACACTGCCAGAACAATTTGGGAGCACTGACCTAGAATTCACAGCACTTTCACAACTCCAAGATTACATGTTAACAAAACTAAATGGTGTCAATTACCTGCTACTCTAACGTGAACTGTTTAATTTACAAGTCCCTACAAGAATTGAAAAAGTCCAAAGAAAACATATGATTAGGTTAAAATTTAGTAAATCCCAGATGCATTATAGATATTTTTCCCCTTAGGAGTATCACCTTTTAAATTGGTGATACTCAAACCTTAACGGAAGCAAAGCACCAAGTGAGGAGAATCAGGATTCTCCAAGTGTAGTGGTTATATTTGCCACTGCATTAGTTTACTATTCCTTCATTAATGCCAACCAGTAGGAGAGATGTTTAATTATCCTAGCACCATTTTGGCAACTGGTCAAAAGAATCCAAGAACTTTCCAATATACACACAGTGTTTAAGAGAATATTCTCACTGGAAGCACCAAACTGTTTATATAGCACGCTTCAGATTAAGAGGCATGTTCTTAATATTGACTCATCTCTATCTTTTTAAGTGTAGCTACTAAGGGAAAATGTAAATAAAGTTTTATTACTGAAAGAAAGTCTTTTTAAAAGTTACTTAAAAGCTTTTTACATTCTTAAAGAAATTAAGGACAAATAGTTATATTCTCCTTGATTTAGATTTTCATTACTCAAAGTTACTTAGTAACACGCTGGTTCAGAATTCAGCATAGAGTAAAAGGATCATTCTATTGCTCTCACTATTTAGGTGAAACTCATACAACTTTCCAAATTTTTTAATATAGAAGATTCATTTAGGCAAATGTTGTCAGATATATCTATTCAGACTGATCTCAATTGCTATTTCAGAGATTTGTGACAATTCAACACATAAAATCAGTCTGGCCCACCACCCAATAAACAATGGTAACTAAAAAGTTATCAGCATTTGAAAATTAAACATCCACTTCCCCAAAGTGAATACCCAGGAACATCGATTCCAACAGTAACACCATCTGACAGCAAATACGTTTAATATTTTTTCCTCAGTGAACCTAGATATATGGATGCTTATGGTATCAACCTGCCAGTAATGACACCCAATTCAGCTGATATACTCCTATGACTATACAAGTTACACAGTAAGATAATTAAACCCTGTGATCAAGATGTAATATTTAATTCTAATTTTATCTAAAAATAATTTCAAATTGAAGTCCATTAGTATAAGCTAAAATATATTTACTTCATTTTGCCACAGTACCCATTACCAGCTTAATGTGTCCGCTGAACTTTTCTTCTAAGAGAAAAATAAAAAAATCTATTTAAGTTGCAATTAAAGTTTCCACTTATTCTCAAAAGATTGAAGTCTCCTGGTTATATTATTAGAATAGCAAAATCTTAAGATAGAATTTTTGTAAAACCAAAAGGCATAGCTAACTTACTTTAAAACATAACAACATATATGAAAAGGAAATGTAAAACACTGAATTTGTAAAATTTAGTAAACCCATGCAAATTTTCTAAAATATTTCTTCACCATCTTTTATGATGAATTGTTAGTGTTTATTTCTAAATTACTCATTGCATTTGGCTCCTTTTAAATTACATCCAAGCTGACTTTTCTTAATGCATCAAAAAAGCACCATCTTATTCAACGTATCAGAGATAAATCTACCTACCAGCACCTACTTTTAAAACTATATTATTTTTAAAGTAAGTTTTACTGTAATAACATACAAAGATAAATGCATCCAGAAACTCCTAAGAATAGCAAAGTTGGAGCTGAATCTCTTGGAGGGGGAGATACATCATTCTTTCTTTTGAACATTATCAAACTGATAATGATCAAATAGAGAGGTATTTCCACAAACTTCAAATTAGAATAGCGACTTGAGAATACTCTTGGTGTTTTAAAATTCTACAGACTAACTTTGTGCAGGTTCAAAGCCATCACGGCATCCTGAGCAGAAGAGTTTTCTGCAGGCAGGGCAGATCTATTAAAAAACATGACCTGTGACAAAAATCAATGTGCTAATCTCAAACCCAACAACAGTATCAAAAGCATAAAACAGAGATAACCTAAGATAAAATGTCCTCAAGCTAACTCAGACTAGCCTGACAGGTTAAGGAGGGGTAGCGCCGGGTGTTGGTGATTCTTTCTGTTTTAACTCAGGATGTCTGGAACACCCAAGTATCCAAAAAAATGAATACATGAGAAAAAGACACACTGAAGTTTGGAGCAGGAAAGCAAAGACAACCAAAAGCAAAATGTCCCAAATTCAACTAACCAATTTCAGTTTTATTTAATAAGGTGCTAACGGTCAGAAATATAAATTCTTGTTTCAATATGCTGTCTAATAAAGCCCAAAGGGGAATAAAACCAACCAACATAATGAGACTTGCTTTTAACACCATCACAACTGGAAAGCTTGCTCTATTTGTCCTGTCAGCTTGAATAAAAGGCATCTCCTCTGGCAGGATGGCTTCTCTTTCTCTTTTCCTAATAGTAGTAAGTGGCATGTCAAAGAAGAAATAGCTTCCCATCCCACCACCCACCTCCGTGAGACTTTTTTGTAACCAAACTTTCAGGGATGTCTCCACTTCTGCCAGGCGGTGCGATTAAGACTTGGGCTACCTGGGTGTGACTATCTTTCCAGGGTTAGCAGGCAGGGGGGACTCTCTCTCCGTTCGGCAACCGGTGGACCGCTTGTGGGGAAATCTGTCCATCTTCATCTGAGCTGACATTACTTCAATCGGGGCATACCTCCCATGCCTGCATAACGAGGGCTGGCGAGGGGCTGGAGGAGAGAGCTATGCGGAGGTAGGAAGAATTGGATGTGCCCGTGGGTCCTCTCTCCCCAAGCGCGCTGGGCGCCGAGGAACCACGAAACTCTCCCCTCGGCCTCCCGCCTCTCTGCCCCCAACTTCCACTCCAACCCAGGGAAAAATCTAGGATTTAGGTATAATCGATGCTATTTCTCTCCTAGGTGGGTACCGAGATCAGTCCACAGCTGGAAGCTGGCCTCGGTCCCAAAGAGGCAGAGCAATATGGGCCCAGCGGGGCCGACTGCTGCCCACAAGCCCAGAAGAAAGAAAGGCGCGGAGCCGCTCCGAATCGGGAAAGGTCGGCCCGGCACTCTGGACAACCCTCACCCCCACCCTACTTCCAGGGTCCGCGAGCAAGGGACGTCTGCGGGAGGTCAGGGTCCAGCAGGCGCGCTAGGGCGGCCCCGGGCGCCCACCTCTAGCCCCTCGCGTCCCCGGCGGGCTTCGGGGATGCCCGCAAAACAGTTCCAGGTAACCGCGCGTACTGCTCTGGCTGCACACCGCCAGGCCGCGGGCCAAGGGCTCCCACCTCGCGGCTCGGCCAACTCCAGCTGCTCGCTCCGCACACATGACGTAACCCGGCGTTAGATCAAACTTTCTGGCACCTTGAGCCCACCGAGGGGTGGAGGAGGTGGGAGAATCCTCTCTACTGCCAAGCGCACCGGGCCCAGACTGACGCAGAGGCCGGATGATTTCCTCGCAGTTAAAGAGGAAAATAAAAACCTAAAGCTTCCGCTTCCCAGTCCTTCTCACTTAGGCTAGCCCGTGCGCTCTTTGAGCGCACCGGGAAAAAGGGAGAGAAAAAAAAAACTTTGGGGATGTTTGGCGGGTTCTCCCCGCTGTCCCTGCGCATCCACGCTCCAGGCGGGAGCTCCTGACGGCGCGCACCCGGGGTTCCCCTTGCCCAAGCCCTGCGCCGGGATTGGGATGCTGGACAGCCCGCCCGGGCGGGGAAGCGGAGAAATCCCCGGCTCCCGCCTCTTCCGAGTCTCCCCGCACTCCGCAGAGGCAGCGAGTCTGGGCAGCCCTAGGGACTCCTAGGGGCGCCCGGCCTCTCCGCGGAGGCTTAACAAAGAGGGGCGCGACGGGAGCGCTTCCAGCGGGCGCCTCCACAGCCATCAGCGCCAGGGCGACGCAGGAAGGTGCGCGCCGCCGGCGGCCGGTGCGCGCTGGTCCCCGCCGTCGCTGCTCCTTCCGCAGGGCCCCAAGGCCCGGATAGCCCCGGCTCTCCGCCCCCTCTTGCCTTACCTGGGGTTGCTGCTGTTCCAGTAGACGGCGTAGCGGTCGGCGACGGCCTTGGAGCCTGGATCCTGGCTGAACACACACATCCAGAGCACCAGAAACACCAGCGTCAACATCTCCACGTGCAGCATCACGCCTGGCCAGCGGCGGAGCCCCCGACGCGCCACTCCGGGGAGAGAGCAGGGATCCGCAGGGAGGGAAGAAGGGAGGGTAGGGGCGAGAGAGGCGAGAGAGCGGGAGCCAAATAAATATGAATAAATAAAAATGAAGAGGAGCGAGAAAAGAGAGAGGCACACAGCAAGCTGGGGAGGGGGAGGAGAGCGAGAAGAAAAGAAGGCGGTAGAGTGGGGGAGATAAAGACAAACTCGCACCCCCACTGGAGGGCTCAGGAGGAAAAAAGGAATCACAAGATGGAGAGAAGCGTGCGTGTGTGTGGTGGCGGCGGCGGCGAGGGCGGGGAAAGGGGTGCCAAGCTGTGTCTCGGGCGGCGGCGGCAGGCCAGTCACCCCGGGAGAAGGAGGTGTGTGCCGGCCCGGGCAGCGGCAGCGCGGGTCGGGGCAGGCGGCGGCGCACGCTGCACAGTCACCGGGAGTTGCGCGCCGCGGCCGCGGGGAGACATACACCGGCCCGCCCGGCCCGGCTCAGCGTCGGCGCCGCGGGCTGCGCACGGCTCCGCCGCCGCCCAGGGCCCTCGCACTGCGCTCCGCTCCGCTCCAAGTTACTTTGGCGGCCGGTGGGAAACTGCAGGAGGAAGGCTCCGTGTGGATGGGGGGTCTTCGCGCCTATGGCCCCGGGAGTCTGAGAACCCCCTTCCCCCGCCTCCTCTGTGCCTTAACCCGAGACCCCTGGAAATCTCGGAGGAGTCGTAGGTGGTGTGGGTTTGCGCCGGTGCGCCGAGAAGGGTGGGGATCCGGAGCCACAAACCCAGCCCCGCCGGCGTCCTGGAACTGGTTAAGCCACAGCTAAGCTGGCGAGGAGCGGTCTTGCCTCGCAAACCTCAAAGAAAAGTTTGGCTCTTCGCTTCTTCCGGCAGGTCCCCCGGCGGAGGTGGACTGCGGCGGCGGCGGCGGCGGCGGCGGGAGACGCCACCCCGGGCGCTGGCGGAGCCTCGGGGATTTCTCGCGCGTGCTTTTCTTGGCCGGGTGTGGGTGCACCGGAGTGAATGAAGAGCAGAGGTTACGAACCAGCCAGCCAGGCGGAGCTGGGATGCCCAAACCTGCAGGACGACGCCAACCCAAGTGTTCGGCTGGAGAGCGGGAAGGGAAACAATCACTTTCAAATGAATGCCTCCAACTCCTGGATGGGCTGATGTCAGTCTCCGATCGCCTTCCGGGAGCGAGAATGAGCCCCCAGACGTGGTGCCAAGAGCCCCAAGTGAGCCCTCAGAAGTGTCCCTGCGACTCCGACGGGTCCGACCCCAAGCCCGGCAACTTGTACAGATGCATCAATCAGTTTGAAATGGGAAAAGAGAAAGAGAGAGCGCACGAGCGAGTGGCACCTCCCCGATGACTACATCAGAAAACCTTCTCGATTCTCCCGCAGCTGCTCCTCTTTTCCTCCTTTGCCACAGCAGCAACAAGAAGCGAAAACCACCAACCGAATCCTAAAATCCCTACCAGGCGGGAAAATAAACTTGAGTGCAGCAGCAGCACGAGCAGCCCGGGAGGGATTGAAACGACTGGCGAGAAGTGGAAAGGGGTAAAAGTCAGTTTTGCAAAATAGAAAAAAAAAAAAAGAGAAAAAATGCTTTATGGGAAAAATCTCCTCGGGCACGCCCCCTCCTTAATGACCTGCGTGTAAAGCCGACAGCGGCGGCGACCCAGCAACAGCAGCCGCACCGGAGCGCGCGGCCGCGCGCGTGGACGTGGACGTGGGCGGCGCGGGGGGTGGGGCCGCCCGGGTGGGGAGCGCAGGGCGCGGGGCAGGCGGGTGGCGCGAGCGCGGGTGTGAGCTCCGGGCCGAGCAGGGGGAGGCGCCGCCAGCCCGCGCCCAGCCAGCGCTGCTGCCGCCGCGGTCCGGGTCATGTGGGCTGCCTTTTTTTTTTTTTTCATGCAGTTTACTTGGAAAGGGTGGGGGGTGGCTGGAGCAGCCAGTCAGGGAAAGGCCTGCTGTTTGCTTACAGATCGAGGTTTTTTCCTCTGCCTTTACTCCAACCGGATTGGTTTGCTCCACGAGAAAGAGGCGTTTTCCTAACCTCCTCCCTTCCCCACGCCTCCTACCCCCTCCCCGGCCCCACCTTCCAGAAACCTGACTAATTGAATTACTGGGAGTGCCGAGGCGCCTTCTCCTCCGCCCGAGCCCAGCAGCCGCGAGTAACCCTTTGGATGCTGAGTTCCATCTGGGCTGCGGAATGATTTGACATCTTTTTACCTGAGAGCGGGGTCTTTCAATTACAAAGGAATCGGTTCCCACCCTGTAGCTGGAGAGCCGAAATCTGTCTCCCGGGCCCCTCAGGTGACATGAAGTCCCAGCAGACGGGCTGGCAGGGAACCTCAGTGAATACGTATTCCTGTAAATCTCTGCCCTGTTCTTCACAACTCGCGCTGCCCGGCGCTGGGTTATCTGGAACCCTGAGCATCTCTCAAGTGCCTTTCAACTCCCCTCTTCCTACCAGGGATTTAAAGGTTCATGAGCAGGAAGCAAGACTTTTTTTTAAAGTGATACTCTGAAAACACATTTTTTTTAATCGAGAAAATCACGGTGTTAAAGTGATTACAATTCAGCGCGAACCTTCAGCAGGGAGGAAATGAATGCGGCAGGGGAGCCCGTCAGAAATACCTTGCACCTTTTCCATTTCAACCCCGAGGCTGGTTCGCTGCCCGCTCCCTAAAGGATAAATGCTTTGAACAAACCCCCGTTCGGGAAGAATCGGAGGTCGGGGAAGGAGTTCCTTTATTATTGGAAAAGGCCTCGAGTTCCCGCACTTGTAGAGCAGGTTGCAGCGCCTCGCCCCCCGCGCCTGGCGGCGAGGCGGTCCCGGCGCCTCGGGACGCGTCCCCCTGTCCTCCAGCGCCTGGGAAGCTAGCCAGGCGCCCGGCGCTGCGGGGCTGCGAGCCCTCGAGACTCGCCCTCGCGGGGCTCTGCGGGCTCGGGCCTGCGTGGTATTATTCTCTCTTATTCTCTAGGGAGTTTGCTGCCTCAGTGGGGAGGACTGATCCCAAGAAAGAAAGCAGTTTAGTTTTGCTCCCAAACCTGCCTGTTCTCTCCTTTATTTATTAGTCCAATAAAATCACGTTCTCTCTCCTGCGCTCTCCAGTCCTCGAGCTCGGGCTTTCCGGGCGCTTCAGAGCTGTTTGGCAGCGTCCAGACGCCCTCCAGTGGTGGGCCTGCAGTCCGCACCCGGCGGGGGTATTGCCTGCAGCTCGGCAGGCATTGAATTTGATGGAAAATCTGGGGTCTTGATCAATCAAGACTTGAGGGGAAAAGAACAGTCACATCGGCATGGAATTACCTGGATGTTATGAGCTCTTACCTAAAAGTTGAGTAGTTTCTCAATTACAGAAATTTTTCCTGCCTGAAGGGATCCTGACATTATCCTAGAAAAGTAATTCTTCTGTTTGGGACTAGACATAAATTACAATCTGTGTAATTATAGACTCCAAAATAGACCACCCTAACAAATCAATCACCTTCCTAATTTAAAAAAATGTGTAATCAGAATATTAACACAAATGCTTCTCTACCATCTGTACATTTCAGAAAATTCCAGCTGTGAGAAAGAAGTTGGAAAACTTAAGCTAGAGAACTAAAGAACAAGCTTTTATTTTTTAAATCAAATTTTCATTCAAAACGTTATTTACTTTTTCCCCCTGGCCTGTAATCTTGCTGATGTTCAAGTTGTTGGCCTATTTTAGGGTGCGGTTGTTTTTTCTGTTGCACGAAGGCTGCATTTCTTCTCTCAGCCTTTTTGATTGATAGTAGCTGTAATAGGTGCTCATATGACTGAGGCAGTTTTGCAGGAAATATTCTGGACCCTTTTAAGGGACACACATATCTTTAGGAAGATGAGAATTCACGACTCCTGTCTTGGGGAAAATGCTGATCCTCAGCAGAAAGTCTTTTTAGTCAGGGAAATATCAGGTATCAGGGAGTTAGCAAGCTGGCTTCCTGTGGCGTCAAAGCCAAAAGGAGTAAAGAAAAAGAAATTATATCCACTGATTTCCTATCTGAAACATATTCTGTAACAAAATGTGAAAATTCAACATAGCAAACGAATATGGATGTCCTAATATTTTAAATATCTCTAATTAGTTTAAAGCCTGGATAGTCCCATTTTAAACAGGAAAAGGAAATCATATATTTTGGTCTTCCTTAAAATGAGTCAAGGAATTGTAATAAAAGATATTGGAATTTGCAACTGTTCAGTACATAACTCAAATGTCTATGTGAAATAATTCATAAACCTAAATCAAATGCCTCCTTCTGGGATTATATACCTAAGTAATTATTGATATTGGAGAAACTAAGCAGCAATATAATAGATACATACTTAGAGAGAAAGAGTTTGAAGAGAGGTATTATTATCTGTACACTTAACAGTCAATGATGTGACTTTGTTTCTTCAGGAAAATATTCTAGTGATCTGAATTTATACAGATCAGCATTATATAAAATAATTGTATTATTATTAGCCCAGTGTCACAGAGGCAATGACTTTTAAGCTGGCCTTTAAGGAATAAATAGCATTTTGCCAAGTATAGAAGGAGGTTCAGGTATGACGGAAAGAAAACAGCAAGAAGCTAAAAATGTGGAGGAAAAAAAGTGCAGGGAGTGTTTGAATGCTTTGAGTTTGACAAGATTGAAACAGGGTTGTAGGGAGCTGAGACCTGAAAAGTCAGTTGCGAATGGACTGTAAAAGGGCTTAACTGTGTTCTGAAAAATGTTTGGCTTTAAAGGTACAGGTATACTGGTGGTTTTAAAGCAAATGACATATAAGCAATATTGTTATGCCTCAAATTAAAACACAAATAGTGATTGATTGGTTGATTTTTAATTTGGGGGGCTTGAACTATCTAGATCAGTGTTCTAATTGTGGCTGTGAATTAGAATCACCTAGGGAGCTTCTTAAAAAAGAACAATGCCAAGGCCCCACTCCCTGTTTTAGTTGGTTAGGAGTGGGGACCTTGGGAGCTATAATTTTTTTTTTTATAATTTTTATTTATTTATTTATTTTTTCCCCCAAAGCCCCAGTAGATAGTTGTATGTCATAGCTGTCCATCCTTCTAGTTGCTGTATGTGGGACGC